TACAGCAGTTGCGAAAACAGCATCATCCAAATCGGAAGCCGCAATATCCTTTTTAGCAGCAACTGCAACGAATACCACAGGACAAACGAAAATAAAGCCCGCTATTAAAGTGCCAAAAGTGAGTTTCGCACCACTCGACATTGAGTTACCGCCTAGCGCACCGATAGCCACGTGATACGAAAACATGCCGCACAACAACATTGTCTGTGAATGGCTGCGCGCCATTGGACTCAGTCAATATGCGGAAAGTTTTATGGAGAATGGTTATGATGAATTAGAAATATGCAAGCAAATCGGAGAAATCGATTTAGATGCAATCGGCGTGGACACTGCACAGCACCGCAGTAAACTACTGAAAAGTGTACGGACGCTAAGGGAGAAAGGTGCGGCAATTGTTTACGTGATGATCAATGATCCAAAGGCCTTAAGTAATAGCAATGAAATATTAAGCTCAGAATGTGATACACCCACCACAATGAAGGAACTACAAGCTGTGATGAAGCGACATCTCGAAGCGGATGGCATACGTTTAACAGCGCATCCTTATTCAACACCGGTGAGTATAGTATAGGTAGATATTGTAACTCAATTATTGTCTACCAAAGTAAGGAATGCAACGAAAAGTAAGACCGCCAAATATTTACAATGTGGGTCAAATGTGGCAGTTTCATGCATTTTCTTGCCATAGCAGTACCGTTGGGTACGCTGGCAGATTGTGGTATGGCTAGCTGCCAGTATCTTTCAATATATATTCGCATATATATAAATATTTTTTGCATATTTTCTGTAAAGTATGCTTGGTGAGCATTTAAAGTGCAATTTCTGTCTGACTGTTCTGCTATAAAGACAATAAATTTCTGTTCATTCATTCCCAGGGAATCAATAAGTTTCGTGTGTGCACAGTGCATTTGACGTGCTAATTTGGCTAGGAATTGCAGAGTACTTTTGTCCATTCCACGAGCGCAGGTTTGGGTATGTGTGCCAGTGTGCTCTGTGTATACATCTGCGATAAAAATATTAACACAGAGTTTCATTTATTCACTATTTAAACCTTAACCACAATGGCTTCTTGAACGTCATTTATTTTTTGTGTACTGATTGCAATGGTGGCACCATGACTTCCGGAGCTGCTGGTCGTGATCGTGCTGCGCCATTGGGGATGTATGCTCTTTTTATAAATTGTGAAACTTCACATAGAGTATATAAATACGAGTACGTATAGCACTGTTGTGGTCAAGTGGTGTGTGCTATTCGTTAAAAAATTGTACGAATTGTAAAAAATTGTAAGGCATGCACATAACTCTTTCATTTATAACTGCCCACTTCATTGGGTTAGTTGGTGCACATATCTATTTTTCTTAAGACCTTTGGGGAATTGAAAGGAATTGTGCTATATATTAAATGAAATTGTATGAAAAATGGTTTAAAATAAAGTGGTTTGAAATATAAGCAGAGTAGGGTAAAGTTTAGTTAGTTTTACACTGAACTAAGAAAAAATTTAAAAAATTCTACAGACTAAACTAGATTTTGATGCTTTTTAATAAAACACCGTAGACCCAAATTTAAAATAGTTTAAATTTAATGAATTACATTTATAAAAATAGTTTTCCATAACCACTCTACTTTAAGAGTAAGTGCCAATGGATAAGTATTACTTTTTCAAGTCAACCTAACATGGGCTTTAATTCCAATTAAATATATTAAAACAATTTTCATGTAAAATTTTATATAAGATATAAAAAGTTTCTTACAAATACGAATATATAGTTTTAATTATTCTCCTGTGATCAGCATTTTTAAACATATAAAATAATATATTTTCTTGGCGTTACAAATTTTGACTAAGCGATAAAGTTTAAAATTGAGTATATTAGGCTTTATATCTGGTAGCTATGAAAAAACTTTTCAACTGTCAAGTCCGATATCTCCAGAGTCAATCTACTATATATTAGCAAATCATGTAGTGGAAAAGTTGTTTGACGTATACTATATCTCCAAGTATTTCAGTTTTTAAGATATTAGACTTTGAACTTAATTTTAAAAAGTTGACAATTTTAAAGCTCGATATCTCAAGATCCAACCTACTATATACTAGCGCATAATGTAGGTAAAAAGGTGTGTGAAGTAATTGTTATTCATTGTATACATATTAGGTCTGTTCCACGAGCTACTCATAGTAACTTTGAGTAAACACTGTGTATACACAAGCGCGTTCCACCAGCAAATTTTCAAGTATTTTTGTGTAAATTTTACTTCTGTTTTACTCATGTTTTACTATGAGTAGCTCGTGGAACAGACCTATTATTTATCTACTTCTTTTTTTGTTAGTCTTTAAGTTAGTTCTAAGATGATGCAACAAAAGGGTTTTTTCCTTTAAAGCATTTTTTAAAATAAAAATAAAATAAACTCTGTGTCGATATATTTTAGTATTTAGGGTATTAAGCTTTGAAGCTAATTTTAAGTTTAGAAAGCTCATTATTTTAAAACCCGATATAACAAGATCTAAGTTACTATGCATCGATATATAATGTAGTGGGAAAATTTGTTCAAATTATTGAGTAGTTTGAAAATAAATAATGATGTCAGTTTTATACTAATCACTTATAATTTTTAAACCTGCTTTGTAAGCAATTTAATGAAATGCCAATTTGGCCATTAATACTTTGAATTCTCCCTTTGACCTATTTCTTGACCACTGGCATATGAGTTGTATTTCTTAGTAAATATGTACAAAAGTAATGATATAAAATTAATTGAACTACTATATTATTAATGAGCTTTACGTGTACAATATGATACATTTGTGCCTTTAAAGGTAGAGTGCAGAGCATGTAGTCATATACTACTATACAGTAAGGATAATGAGATATGATGAAATATAATACCTGCTTTTGAATTCGTTATTATTCCTATTAATGAATGCTTGATAGTCGTTTAGTTCAATCACACTAGACAGGGTGAACAGGTAATATTTCTATATACAGACAATATATTTTTAAAATCAGAGCGGTCATTTTTTTTTTTGGATTTGCAATATTATAACCAAATACATACAATTTGACATTTGAATTAGTAAATAATTTTTTAAATTGCAAAAATAATTAATGTATTCGTTTTAATATCGAAAACAAAAATTTTGGTTCAAATACTGGAGTTAGTAATATTTGGAATCTAATTTGTCAAAATTTAAAACGATTTCGTAAAAATATTGATGCAGGGTCAAAATCAAGAACAGCTCATTAGAAATGGTTCTCAAAAACTTGGATTTTATTATGTGTCAATCCCTTTGAATCAAAAATTTAATCAAATACTTAGGAGTTGATTAATAAACCTTTAATTTGATTTCAATACTTTTGAAATCAGTTTTATTATTTCTTAAAAAAATCTTGGAAGAATTGATATGTGCTTAACAGGTTCTGTAAATAAATAAAATTGTATACTTTTGAGTGAAGAAAATTTAGATGCTGTTCATGAAACATGTTCACATCTATAAATATTAACAGAGTTTAGTTTTGTTTATGAACTAAAAATTATATATATATTCAATTTTCGTTAATAAGGAACACTTCAGGAATATGACCACTGGGATTTTAGAATACAAATTTAATTAATTCTAGTTAGACGATATGAAGCTCAATCAGGGGATTACAAAATGACATACATCTTGTGACATGAATCCATTTTTTATACCAGATGCTGGTCATGAAACATGTTCACATCAATAAATATTAAGAGTTTAGTTTTGTTTATGAACTAAAAATGATATATATTCAATTTCCGTTAATAAGGAACACTTTAGGAACATGATCACTGAGTTTTTAGAATACAGATTTGAATTAATCTAGTTAGACGCTATGAAACTCAATCAGGGGATTACAAAATGACATACATCTTGTGACATGAATCCATTTTTTGTAAGAAGAAAATATATAATTCTTATTTGAACGTTTCTTATTACATTGAAGTTTGCAGTTGTTTAAATATATTATATTATCGAATTTATTTTACAAATAATATTAATTTATAAGAGCTATCAAAAAAGTTTTAATCTATGCATTTGGAATTTAAACAGTTTTATTCTTGACATAGTTTATTTAACATAACGACTAAGGGAGAACTTCAATTAGACTTTAATGTTACAATATATTACTAGTTGGAAAGTATTTAGTTATAATTTTATATAATTTATAATTTTATATAATATATAATATAATTTATAATTTTATAACTATTTTATTTTGAAAATACTAAAAACTACGCTTGTCCTCAATTGAAAGTTCATTTATTAGTTTTCCTCATTTGATTTTTAAGAGGAGCTTAGTCATATAATTTTGATGAGGAGTGTGCTATAAAAAGCTAAGGTATTGTTGTCATTCCATGTATAGCATTCTGGTGTATTTTCGGCATCGATTGTTTTACATTGGGTATAATTTTTCAAAATTTACTAATCAATTATTATTACTTAAATAAATATTTCTTAATGTACATATATTTGGCATATGCTGAGTTGTCTTAAATTTTACTGAATTTGAGTTTATTTGCATAAGTGTTGTATCAATTAAAAATGTATTAAATTCCTTGACCTGATTTCGTACTCCTATGTAAATACTCATACTTTTTGAAAATATTTTTGTATAATTGCCTGACATGTAACAGTTTTGCTTAATGGCAGCAATTTGGCTGAAGGAACTACTTTTCCATATTGTTGGCTTTCTATTGCATGTGTTAAATTGCTTAGCAACCTAAATTCCCTCATTAAAAGTATTTAGAAAGTACACTCGAAATGTTTAAAATCAGAGAACAAATTCAAATAGAAATGAAAAAATACTTGACTAACCATAACTACAAAATCCAACAGAACACACACATAAACATGTGAATTTTACTTGTACGAAAATGCCAAACAGCAGTTGAGGTTTGGAAGCTTGATGAGTATTCCTGGCACAATGTAGCTCGGGACATAGTGGTAGCTTGAAAGAAGTTGTCTAAAATAGAGAGGAGCAACTTTGTTACTAAACAAATATAAATGTTTGATGTTTGCTTAAAAAAAGTATACGTTACGATTTGCATAACTCACAATCAGTCTAGAATTTTGTAGCAAAAGAAGTCGCATAGAGAGAATTTTGTCGCATATGGAAGCCACAAATGGGTTTCTAACATTAATCAGAAACTGCATAAAATTACAAAAAGTTTTTAGCAGCTTGATGACAATTTCTAAGCACTTACTCGTAGGAAAACTAGGAAAACGGGCCACGGGCGGTGAGATTGCTTAAGTAAGATACAAAGCATTTGCAATGAGTTTTAAGATGCACAAATGGCTGAAAAGAATCTCTTTACTCACAGTAAAATGCAAACTTTCTAACAATTTCATAATGTTCGTATAAAAAAATGAAAAAAATTAAATTTGTAGATTCACAGTTTACCACAAGTACTTGGGCACGTCTCTCTGCTCTATCCTTTTAACAAAAATATTGTAATCATTTATGTGCCACTAGTGCATGACCGCAAATTCTACGCACAACTTGTATGTATATTTAATATTTTTATATAATTATATATTTTTTATGAGCATAATTTTCGTTCTAAATGTTGCAGAGAAATGAATTTAATTTTATATCT